ATGAATGTACAGATGTGATTTACACAATTGATGTATGTATGGATTGTGATAAGAGTTGTATAAGCCCCTAATAAAACGATTAAAAAAAAAAAGTTTGAAAAATAAAAAATTGCAAAAAGAGCAAAAAAAAATTTTGTTACAAGCATTATACCATGATATAAATAGAGGAATATAGATTATTTTTCTTGATATACAAAATAAGCTAATTATGTTCTTTTTATTTTGCATTTAAGAATTTGCATAATAAAACATATACCAATTCAATAGTTCCTACATGAATAATTTAGTGACACTGATTGCAATCTTTGAGTTGTACCACCTTTCTCCCCCTTCTTTTCTGAAGTGTTCATCTCCCATTAACATAAACTTACTTAGGACTCATCTAATTTTCAAACAACTGTTGTTAATTTGATCCCATAAAGGTAGATCTTAACGAGCATGAAGCTCAAGGCAGATGGTCATTATTAGTTAAGTTTAGCTACTGCTTGACTTTTAGAAAACTTTAAGATATATTTTTGGTGTAAAATTCAAAGAGTCAGTAATAAAAGGAAAAAGTGGATGGTGTGGCTAACTGTCGTCACCAACAACTGCCTCCCCTTTGTCATGAGATCAAAAGAACTGGAGAGAACCCAGCTACCACCACTCAGCAGGATGCTTCAAGATTTTACAGAGGAATCAAGACCAAAGGGAGTGAAGTACAGAAGAGAATTTCAAATTCCCGCAGTTCTCAGACTCTGGAGCCATGAAGGCTGGGTGAAACCCCAAAACAACTGCCTAAGATAATCGTTAAATCTTAGACCTAAACGATCTCCTCAAATCATCACGCATGTGATTTTAACTTGTATTTTGTGCTTACTCCTGTGTTATAATTTAAAACGATCTTGAGTAAGACAGTGGCATTAACTTATGCAGTGAGATCCATAGTGATACTTTTCAAAGTGAAAGGTTTTTGAGGTGACTGTTTAAACACAACGAGAGAGCGCATGTGCAGAGGAGAAAAAGCGCTGGAATCATGTGATCATTTCAGTCGAGGAAAGCGTAGTGTCAAAGTGCTGCCGATGTCTCGGTTCAGGAGTTGTGGGTCATCACTCCCTAAGGAGGCCTTACTGCCTTTGGTGAAGAAACCATCTCCTTTCTTCTAAGCCTCACTTGTATTTTGCTAAGACGGGAGCTGGAATGGAAGATTCTTTCAAGTTCTACCTTTCTATGAGCAATTATGTGTATGTGAAATCTTTCCCCAAATATAAAGCTACTTTTGAGTGATTATGCGTATTAGTCCTGAGTGGTCATTTAGGCATCTACAGCACATCTTTTTCTTTCCCCCTTTCTGAGTGCTTGATCAGAGTACAGCTTAGAATGATCCATAGCTTTTTGTATTTTACTCCATTTCTTTACTTACCTCCTTCTTGCTTCTAAAACTGGCCCACTTTCCCTCCCCCTGCGATTCTATTTAACCTCATCCTATGATCTAAGGCAAAGAAGTCTATGAGGTATTTCCAGCTTTAAGGAAGCAGATTCCGCTTAAAGAATCTTTCTACAGAACTGCACACAACTGTGATCACCAATACTAACTTACCCTGTCTTCTATTCTTAGTGGGTGATAGTAAAAGAACCAAACATGATGATGCCATTTGGAGAGAAGACAGACAAGGAAGGCGATAATTCATAGCGAATCAGCAGCAGCACTGATGCACACAGCAGGAGTCAGCAACTCTCAGAACATCCAGAGATTCTGCTTAATGATGTTTTTGTGGTTTTACTGATTTTACTCTTTAAGATGTTTGTTCAGGCTTAGGAAATTGGGTCTAACTGAATAACAGCGACCGACCCTCAGAATGATCTCAACTGGAAATTCTTCTGCTTCTGAGCCGAGGTGTGAGAGGCTGCATTCAGCAACACGCGAGCATGGTAATGTATGTGGTAAAATTATTGCACTTCGTTAACTACCACTAAACTTGGATCAGTCTCTAAATACCTCGTTTTATCGTGAACTATCACATTATTTAAAAATAATATATTTTCTAGATCAATATTTCATGCTGTTGATAGTGATCTAGTGTAGTTTTTATTTAATTACAAAAGGGATCCTTGGCATCAAATTATACCAAAGGATGACATATAATTTTTGCTGACAATTTTTTGTAGATTATAATTTTTTTAATCCAAATATTTTTTAGACCAGATAACATGCAAAATGACTTCATGAAGTATAACATTTCTATGCACACTTTAATTAAAATGATCAGATGCTATTTGGCAGTTTATAAGTCTTAGTGTTTACTTAGAAAATATCATTGCTTTATTGGCACTGAAAATATGTGAATTTAGTGCTTATTAAAATTAAATACTTAGTGGCATATGAAAATGTAAATTTCAGTTTCTGACAGTTTGAAAGCAGTTACTTTTCTAATTAAACAAAGGTTACTAAACAACCTCATCTCACATGATTGTTGTCATTCACTAACAAATCTTAATGGAGACAACCTAAAATATGACTAGCATTTAAGACTACCAAATATATCTAAATATTTAATACTATTATAATCAAGCAATAAAAAGGTTTGAAACATGCACATA